TAGAGAGATGCAGGCACTGAAGATGCATGCCCTGCCACCGCCATCGACCACCAGGACCGAACGAGCAAAGACCAGCGCAAGGAAGCATCAGAAGCGGCGGCGGCGGCAGTCTGCAGACTAATGGACGATTGAAGGCAGGAGCGAACGGAGAATGAATGCAGGCAGTGAAGCAGTGAGCGTCGATTCAGGCTTCAGTTGGCAGGGACACTTCCGACTAATCACTTCATTGGGTACTGCCAGAACATTGGGTGCACCCATCATAGATCGCCTCACCGGCTGTTAGGTGTAGCAGCAGCAGACACTCTGCTACACTCTTACTCTTCTTCGACACTCTCTTTTGATGCGATGCTGGGTGCCAGAGAGATGCGTGCACACAGTCGCTTTGGCTGGAACAAAAACGAATTTAGTGCGGGTGCAAACGGAAAAACAAACACTGACAGCGCAGGGAGTGAAGTGATGATGCCGAGGATGGCGTCAATCGGAGCTGCTACTACTGCTGCAATGTACTCTGCTGCTGCTGGTACTGCTACTGCTGCTCTGTTCCCAGCAATCGGTCCAATTTGGCTCAATTGGCCTGACGAGCCCTGTCGAGCCCTGCAAACAGCCTCAAGCGACTAAATTAAACGGTGGTGAAATTACTCAGTGCTAAGTGGCCTACACAAACACACGCACTTCCTTGCTTGCTTACTCTAATCATGAGCAAGTGTCAGGGCGCCCGGATCGCCAGACCACTGCCAGCTGTAGCAGCCACTGTAGAAACACATGTTTTGACGGTGTCACTGGCAGTTCACACTTACTCTCACTCGTTCTCCTTTTCAGCTAACGGCAAAAAGAAGAAGTTTCAAGTCAAGTTTTGGCAAAGCACTTTCTGAAACAGTATGGTGAAGTGAACTACCAAATGGTGAAGTGTTGATTGACAAGTCGTCTCGGAAGAACACCACTGCATCACTCACCGAGTGAGTACACACCACCTTGCACTTCCATTCGATGAGTAGCAGCAGTAGTTCACCAGACCAGATCACGTCCCAGGCACTCTGATGACAACAGCAGCAGCAGCAGCAGCCTCTGAGTTGGCGCCACTTTTCCCTCCGCATCACTTTGCAAGCTTTGCCCGTTTCAGCGCCCAGATGTGTGCGCTCACTTTACACAGTGCCAGTTTGTGTTTACATCGAGCCAAAACGTTTGAGTCAAAGTGCACAGATGAGTCCTCATTTCAGTATCTGATAAAGAACTTGTCAGAAATGCTCTGTTGACCCATGGGAATCAGCGAGCAAAATTTTTTAAGAATCGTACATTGCGTTAATGAGTTTTCTGAAAACACACTTTGCTTACATGCACATAACTGCCTACTCAAACGCGTGCAGTTCGTGGTTTCTTCGTATCCCAAAACGCCTCGTTGGATTCTGATTAAAATTGACAGGAAAGTTCAGGTGAACGGTAGAATGAAGACAATGCATCGAAATGCTGGCAAATAAATTTCGAGGTAACTGCGCCTTTTTTGAGCGAGAGCGTAGGAGGAGGAGCTGTATAGCGGATTCAAGGATACTCTTTCGCTCTTTCGCTGCCTCTGCCAGGAGGGCACTGTGTGCAAAGGCAGCGGACATGTGTCCGAAGTGGGACATCTCTCCGAGTGTGCCTGGCAACAACTGACAGCGTCTATGCCCTCGGAACGTCTCTTCTGCTCTCCTGTTTCTCGTTGTTGTTGTTGTTGCCGCGTTCTCCCACCTCTTCCCACGGCATTATCACACTGATTACCCACTGTCACCAAAGTCAGGATCACTTGACATTGTCTGATTTGCTCCAGAACCATCATCCTCTCCGACGACATCACATCACCTTCCCGACAGTCACCTGTCCTCCAGTGTTCACCCTTGTTGTACCTTGCTGCTTTTTGCGTCGATTCTCCTCTACTTAACATGCTCCAAGATGAAGTTCCTTGAACACTCTCATTTTGAAGCGTTAAACTCAGCGTTGAACTTTGATGCCGGTATATATCGGATTATTGGAAGGTGAGTACAGTTCAAACGAATCCTACACGTTCTGCCAGATTTCAATTTATTATCNCCCGACGATATCACATCACCTTCCCGACAGTCACCTGTCCTCCAGTGTTCACCCCTGTTGTACCTTGCTGCTTTTTGCGTCGATTCTCCTCTACTTAACATGCTCCAAGATGAAGTTCCTTGAACACTCTCATTTTGAAGCGTTAAACTCAGCGTTGAACTTTGATGCCGGTATATATCGGATTATTGGAAGGTGAGTACAGTTCAAACGAATCCTACACGTTCTGCCAGATTTCAATTTATTATCGTTTATGAAAGTACACCTAGATTTACGTCTTTTTTCTAATAGTTTTAGCAGCAAATCGACAAAAAGATAGCGTCTTGGGAATGATTGTTTATATGCTCTTTTATTAAACGTGTCAATTTTAGCTTTTACTAAATTTTTTCCTACTGTGTTGTTCTGTTGCCAACCACTAGCTGTGGTACAGCAGAGTATAACACTGTCTAGCGACCACCGACCGAGAGATTTCGGTAAAGAAACAACAACTTTAAGCTAGTGTGATGCTCCGGCACAGTAGTTGTTTAGTTTCAGGAGGCAAGATAGTGTATAGCTTCTTTTACATGGACTCTGATTAGATTGAGCCAGTCTGTTTTCTTCTGTGAGGCTGTGCTCGGATTGTGCAGCCATGTGTCAGCAGTGTCTGTGACACATTTTAAACAGCAGTGAATCGTACTACCGATTCAATTGAGAACACAGTGGTGGTGCAACCATTAAATCACAGTCAGCTTATGCGTGATCTGACAAATTAACAATTACAACGTAGAGGCACTGGAATTTGCAGTTTAATATCATTTTTAATATTCATTCTCAGTTGCCACTGGGCAGTTTGGTGATTTATTGACATGAAGCAGATGCTACTGCTGTTGTTTGCTGTTGGTCATGGCGAAGCACATCTTCTGCCATCTGCGTCAATCTGTCTTTCTATCGCTTTTGAAAACTTTAAAATATGACTTTAAATTGTCTTGAACCAAGGCAGATCGGTGAATGGTGCATGGCGTGAGTGTGTGCTGCAGGCCTGATGTGTATGGCATTGTGAATGCATTGGAATTTGGTTCTAAACGGATTCACATTGCATTTCTGGTTGCTGCATCCATTCTCGGCTGCTGAACAATTGCCCGACACGACTGTCATTTGAACGCATTCACTTGGTGATCTTCTTTATTGTCACGCACCACCACCATCCTGTGCCTTGCTAATTTCAGGCGCAATTTTTTTTATTACAAGTGACCTCAATTTGCCTTCGCTTTCAATCTTAACTTTCCTTATAGCTTCTAGTTCATGAGTGCTAATGCCTTAAACGTCTTTTTTCTATTTCCTCATCCCCTTTAGATTAGAAAGTTACTCCTGTAAGTTGGTGGCCAGCGAGAAGAAGCTATTCAAGTCTATGAACGCCGCTGATGGCCTCAGTCCGAATGATCTGGAGGCTTTATCGCCGCCCAATTCAAGCTCATTTCCCAGCAACTCCTTCAGCAGCTCATTCAACAGCAGGTACCGTTTTCGTGTTACTCGTTTTCACTCTCAATCATTATCTACCACAACCACCAGTGCCAACAGAGTTTTCGAAGCACCCCTTTGATGATGGATGTGTGCCCAGAGCGTGCATCCGAGCCCCAGTGGGCTGAACTAGCCGTATTTTGAAGTTTGTTGTTGTTGCGGTCGCTTTCGCTTCCAGTTCAGTCTTTATCTCTGCGGATTAATTATCTAAGTAGGCACTAATCACCACAGTTTGGCTATTATTTGGCTGAGTTTCAATTAACTGGCGGCTTCTAGCCGTCTGAAAAGTAGACCATTCATTAATTTCCCCTCGTTGCAAGCTCTTGAGTTTTCTCGGAAACTTTAACTGTAGCCTTGCCGCACTAGCTATCGTACTACTTTCTTGAAATTTCTCTTTTCTACCCTACTAAGTTGTGCTCACACTAACATGGAAACAGCATTGGCACTACTGGCAACTTTATTCTCTTACCAAGTCGGCAGTTTTTTTATTTAGGACCTAATTGGCACTTCTCCATCTTTACATTATTTAGCCATAATTTATCTCCGATTTACTGACCTCAAACTTTTTTGCTCAAACATCTAATGTTTGCGGAAAGCAATATGTGTTTTTGATGTTATCGAAATGTCTGACTGAAACACTTTGATAATGAGCTGGAAAATGACTGGTCAGATCTCCTTTGGCACTGCCCACTTTATCAGGCAAATGATTTCCATTTAGTAGTATAGCACTAGTAATTTTAATTATTTTCATCTTTGCTTGTCATCGAACTCATTTTCACTTGTTTTATTGATTGCTTCATGTCGAGCAAACTGTATGCTGGGTAGACTGCAATTTTGCCGATTTTGACAACTGCCCAGCCCGTAGCTGTCACGGTCCCAGGCCAATTTGCCATCTTGCCATAATGTTTGTCTGTTTGTGTTGGTGTTGGTGCCATTGCCGTGTGCCAAGGCCATGTAACTGTGCTAGCACGGAGGCCAGCTCGGACAGACCTAGGCTTGCTGCAGTTCATCGCAGACGGACGCATCATTCGGTCTTGGGCGATTGGGCGGTCTTATTCAATATGGCCGTTCTTGTTTATTNTGCTAGCACGGAGGCCAGCTCGGACAGACCTAGGCTTGCTGCAGTTCATCGCAGACGGACGCATCACTCGGTCTTGGGCGATTGGGCGGTCTTATTCAATATGGCCGTTCTTGTTTATTGCAGACCCACAAAGGAATCGCCAACACAAGCAAACTATTTTGGCGCAACTCATTCTTTTCACTTTTCAGCAGTCGGCTTCTGTGTTCGCCAATCTTCTCTCTACTTTCTACACAATACAATGACGATGTGAGCTTTCTGAGTTAGGCAGAAAGTATTATTATTATTACGACACTGTGCGGAAAAGTGAAAAAAGAAAGACGGGCCCGGCCACTTGCTTGCTTTTTCCATTTGCCTTCTCGAGCTCCCGACACAGCTTTGGCAGTGCTCGAGTCTTACTTGTCTTTTCGCTTTGGCATAAGTTTTATTTTATTTTTTCTATACTTTTCCGTTCACTCGCCACTGGCAAGTGGTAAAGTGCAGTGCAGTGTGCACTGCTCATCTTTGGCTGGCGCTTCTTCGCGCGGACTGCCGTTAACTGGCATCGTCGTTACTCTTTCGTCTGCATTTCTATTTCTCTATATTAATTTTGTCTTTTATCACCGAACACAGAAAGACAGACTTGAGTCTATTATGCCAACAACAATTGCGCTGGAACGATTTAATAATTAGACCTTCATTTTAACTTTACTTTTTTACTGCTGCTCGAAAACAACTGAATTTCCGCTAGTGCACTCATGTGCTTCTTTGCGGTGCACTCTTAATTCGGAGCTGTACTGTTTCCTGTACTGTTTCCTAATCTTTCTGCCGAAGCCTTCACGACACTTCTGTGCCAGTACAGTACACATGGTCGGCAAATAATGCTCTTTCTCTTGGTAGACAATCGACTTGGATTTGAAGTAGTCAGTAGATTTACTTTTTTTCGAGGAACGGCAATTTACCCTTTATTCTCGACTGAATGTTTTCTAATTATCACTTGGATATTGTTCTCTTTTCAAGCCTCAAGTTCTCTTTGGAGAACAGTCATTTGCAGTGCGGCCAAATGTGTTTCACCATTCGAGAGAAGGGGTAGGAGGGGGCGGCGAGGGGTTTCACAGTTGAAAGTTGTCAGTGTTTGGCCTCTCAGCAAACACTCTCGTGCTCGCGAGTGTTTGTCGATGATAACTTTGCTGTCAGCTTATGCAGACATTAAAATTATTTATACTTGGCTGGCTAACCGGTGCTTATTGTGGCTCATTAATATAATTCACAATCATTTCATTTCTCTCGATTACCCTGCCTGTGTTGAAACTTTTCTGCCACTCTAAAGAGAGTGTGTTCCTGAAAAGTGTGCCCATTTTCAGCCTGCAACTTTGTTGTAGGCAAATGTGTCTTGGCGCCGCGCAGCGTCAGCCACTTCTTGACACACGCACACTTCTACATACTACAACGCAGCACTGACCTTTTTGCAGTTGTGATTGAAGTCAGTTTGGGCCAATTGAAAATTGTCTCAGTGAGATTAATGCCGCGAACGTGGTGTGAATTATATTGCCACTTGTGCCGGGCACTTGCCTCCTGGGCCTTGTCGGTCGTGCCTGCCTGCCTGCCTTTCTTCCCCTGTCGTACACTGCTCTACACACACTTTACTCTATCCAGCTCGCTCCACCAGTACACCACCGCCAACACTGCCAACTTTTGCTTCCTCTGCTAAAAGTGACTTTTAGTGGCCGCAACATCGGCCGCAGCAGCAGCTGAAGCAGCCTTTGCATTTGCTCAGCTCTTGTTATCTTTCATTTCACTCGATCTGGTCTCTTTACTGAATTTAAATTACAACCTGACAATATGGAGCGTGCTTTTGGGAAACAATTTGGAGGGCTAAGGAAGCTGTGCACGAACGAGTTGGGTCCATGTTTGGCTTACTTGTACTTGGCTTTTTCTTGGCACAACACGTCGCTAGCAGTAGTGCTAACCGAAAGTGTGCCCGGGATTTGCGCCGGTGTCTTTGTGTGTGTGTGTGTGTGTGTGTGTGTGTGTCAGTTCATGAGCACGCGCCAAATTTGTCAGAGTGCAGAGTAAAGACAATGACATTGGCAGGTGCGATTCACGGCAGAGCGCTGCTAATTGGACTGCTCGAGTAGGGCGCCAAATTGGATCTCGGCAGTGGTGCTGTGAAGGTGCTGCTAGTGGAGGTGGTGGTTGTTTCTTCCCTGGAATGTGTGCCTAATGAGGACGTACCCTGCGCGTGTCACTTGGCCTAATGTTTTTCCCTTTTTGTTCCTTTTTCCTCACAGAATTGCAAGCATGGCGGACGAGTTCCAATGCAGCCAGACGAGTCGCAAGATTCTCTTTTATCTCATCGCCACGTTAAATGCATCATTTAATCCCGATTACGATTTTAGCCACTGTCGTGGTGACGAGTTCAGCAAGGAGCCCAGCATAAAGGTAGGACTCTTTTCTTTCTTTCTTTTTGCGTTCTTTCTTTTTCTCCTCTTTCGGTCACATACTACCTGCAATTTTTTTCCACTGACTAGCGGTGACTCAGGGGCATCACCCGACGGCCGTTGTCTCATTAGCACCGTCGTCCATGTGGACCATTTAAATGTGCCAAATTGGCGATTCCGCCTGGCACCAAATTACACTTGACTGCCACCGCAGTGTGGCGGCCGATCACCGGCGATGCAATGATTGTGGGAGTGAGAGAGAGAAAGTGAGAGTCCCCACTCCAATTCATCGCCGTTTCTGTCTATAGTAACTATGACTATTAGCATAATAGCAATGGCAATTGTAATAATAATTCATAATATATGAACAATAATTGAATCACACGTCACTCTCAGCTCATTGCGGCCTCTCTTTCTCCTGTGTGTGAGTGTTTGTATGTGTCGTTATTAAAAATATTAAAATTGCTTGTGGAAATGGTAAAGTTTTGCCGATCCTCTTTGGCGAAGAGTGCAAAGGGTCTTTCTGGCAAGTCGCTGGGCCAGCACACCATCACACGCTTCCATTGACAGAAATGCAACTTGTTCTCTTTCTTCTTGCCTGGTGCTTTTCTTCTTGGCCTTGCACTTTTGCTTGGATGGTGCATTCTTTTGGCAAGTCTGCCAGAGTCAGTCAGAATCAGTCAGGAGAAAGAGACAATGGCATGGCACTTTGCAGTTGCACTGAAGCCAGTCAGTGAGCCAGTGTGTCTGAGCTGGCCAATTTAAATTGCCCCCTTGTCATCTTCTCTGCTTCATTCTCTGTCTGTCTGTCTTTATGTGTGTGTGTTTGTCTATTGCTGATGCTTTTCAGCTTCGATCGTTAACTCGACTGCTGCTCGGTCGCATGTCCTTGTTCAGGCTCATTGCCCGATCGAGTCTATTCATTCAATTCTCTCAGTCGTCGGCAAGGCAAGGCAAGGCGCCTCGCATCTCACAGCCAGGCCAGCGCCGTTGCATTGTTCAAGTGCTGTAATTATAATTACTTGGCCAGAGACAGTGCAGGCGTTAATGAATCCAGTGGGCATTGTCTTCCCACTAAATGGATGACACTGCTGGCTAACTGGAATATTCCACTTGCGCACTCGCTGCCCTTGTCTTTTTGACTGTGCTCTGGTTGTGCACTGTCCTCCCACTGCCTCGCACTCAATGGCGACTTTCCCGTTGACACTGACTTTTTTAGGACTCTCTCCGACTCGGCAGAGCAATTGAAATCGACACGACATCTACTTCCTTAGGTGCACACTAGACGGACTCTGTACATCTGGTGACCCAGATGGGCATACACTTTGCGGTTACGCTTCGTCTGATCACGCCATTCTGATGGAGCATAAATCTAAAATCTAAAAAGCACACACACGTTCTTTGGACTGGAGTAGCACTGCTTTGAGAGACTCTGCGTTGAGAGTATTCTTTAGTGCGACAGCACTTCAGTTTCATCAATTTCGATTCCTGCTTTTTTGTTGTGTGAGGTTTTGCACTCTCTCGCGCTGTCGCCGCAATTCATCTTGTTCCATTAGTCTGCCAGTCAGCTAGTTCAATTGGCAACTCTTTTCAATCGGATTTATCGGCAGTTTTAATTTAAAAATCATTAGAATATGAAAAGCGCCATGTTTGTCGCGGTGGTACTCCGTTATACACGGAAGGAACATTTGGGCTCTGTCTATTCAACAACGGAGTCGTGAGCGCAGGCTTGTCAGGCGCCGCTATTCTTCTGGTTCTCCTGGAGCCGAGCGCCATTCGTCTTGTTGATTTGCAGCCTTCTCGAGCTAGCAGCAGCAGCATCAGCAAGCTCACACGCCTGAACATTGCGAATCCACGGTTGCAAGGCAATTAGTGCTGGCTAGACGTAGTCAAATTGATTGCCACACTATTAGCAAGTGGCTCATGGCTGTATCATTTCAGAGGACATCATTTTTCAAGCCAATTTATAACTCGACTTGCCTTTTGTTCGTTGTTTTTCTGCCTACCATTCTCCTCTTTGGTTTGAGAGCGTTTTAAATTTACATTTTTATTATAAGTTTCTGTCGTTATTATTGCATTTATAATGTCGGTTATTAATTTGATTCCTTTTCTTTCCCTCACTCACTCACTCACTCACTTTCTCTAAATCTGGATGTTCCCTGGTTCCTTTTGGTTCCCTTCTCTCCGGCTGTCTCTTCTCTTGGCATGTGTACTACCCCCATTGAAAATCACGCGTCGTCTTTGCAGCATGTGATGGATGCCGTGGACTCGAGCTTCTTCAACTCTTCGGCCCGTGAAGAGTACAACGCCGTGAAGGCTCAACTTTGGTCTGCAATTGATAGTCACATCAATCTTTCAGACTGTGAAATTTACAGGCAAGTACAACTGGCACAGTTTTCACAGTGCACACATGAACATAGTCGAGTCAGTGGCGCTTCCTTCTTCTGGACATATTTGCTCATGTTTTTGCTTGTTTCAGCTTTCTCTCTTATTCTTTATTCTGTGTTGCTCCTTTCTTTTTGCTGTTTGCTTCCTTTTGGCTGCTACTGCCTCTCCATCTTCCTACTGCCGCTTCTATCTGCCAGCAGAATGGCGTCACTGCCATTATTTGCTACTAATTTATTGGCTACATTTATTGATCCAATTTCCTGCATCTCTTAAAATTTGCCCATTTGTAGAAGGCGGCCTGTCCCGGCATATTGCCTATCGCCTTGATCTATGCCATTGATTTATTCATTCTCTCTGGCGTGCGCGCTGTCCCATGGCTATTGTTTTCAGTTTTCCTTTCTTCTCTCTGTGTTCTATTATCTCTTTTCATTTGCCCATTTATTAACGCAGACAATGTGTTTACCCTCTCAATTTCTCTTCCTGCAGCTTTAATCCCAACGCTAACTTTGATCCCTGGGATGAGTGCTGCATTTGGTCATTCTACTACTTTTTCTACTCGAAGAAGCTCAAGCGCATCGTCTTCTTTGCCTATCGGGCCGTAAGGTTTGTGTAACACACAGGACAGGACAGGACGAGGGGGCAGATAAAGTGGCCCTTTATATTACTTTTGTCTTGTCCCTTTTCTATTCTTTTCTGCTCTTTTTTCTCATTCACTTTCCTTTTCCAACACAACAACAGGAAGGACGACGCCGACGTGGAGGAGCAAGAGGACACCGGATACACCTCATTCGATATGGACTTGATGTAATTGAGTGGAAGAGCATCTCCATTGCACCCATTCTCAGCCAGCATGACCGCCAGCCCTTTCGTCTCTGGTTGTGCCCACCAGTCAGTCCAGGGTCGCTTAGCGCTCATTCTTTAGCACACATACACTTGCACTCACACAAACACAAACACACACACACACACACACATCATGAGCACCATCTAATCGTAGTGTCGCCACTAAAAGCTTAACTATGTCATCGTCCGAATATCTAAACCTAATCTCATTTGGCTAGTGTGCAGTGAGTCCTCATGTTGTCCCACCGCTGGCTATGCGATCTCTATTTATTCGGTATTGCATCCTCCTCCCCTAAAGCCCATCTCCATTTCCTCCTCTGCCTGGCCATCTAATTGGCCACCGCATTTATGGTTCATCTGGCAATATCTCACTTTGATCGTTCTCTTCTCTTCTTTCTTTCATTCTATCCCATTACGAAGCGTTTCAGAGTGGCATTCAATAACACTCAGGCACTTCTCTACTACTACCCTCTCTACGCACACACATTGCCACACTTTACATTACTTCTTTTCCTCCTCACCATTATCATTGGCAGTAGTAATAAACACTGGCAATCCGTTTCGATTAAATTAAACAGCATCACCCAGTGTGTGCGCACTCTAATTGGGCGCCAATGACCCACTCGGCTTTGTTCGACCTCGCGGCTATGTTCTTACGTTCTAATAATTATATGTTCTTTTGGCCTAACTGGCACCACCACTGTTTTCCATCTCCAGATGAAATGGCAGTGGCCAATCGGCCAAATGGCGACAATTACTGATAGTGCACAGCAGAGAGGAAGCGCACAATAAAGTTTATTGAATATAAAAAGACCATACAGTGTGTGCTATGGCACAATGATTACTCTAATCGACAATCGTCACACTATGGACAGCCTGCTTCCTGGGCTGTGATTGCTAATTACTAGTGCGTTCCTTCCTCTCTCTCTCTCTCTTTCTCTCTGCAATTGCCACTCGATTAATGCCAATTATTGCCCAATTATTGTTGTACCAAATGATTTTGATTACCTCTCCCACTCACCTCCCGCTGTATATATTCTGTACAAATGAAATCAAAGCTCTGTATTATCATTCATTTGATTGTTGTGATTCATTTCATCTTTTGCATATGATCCTGATGCACCTGGCGCACCGATACCCCTTATTCTCTCAGATCTGTTACACATTATCAAATAAATGCTTGTTCATTCAAGTTGTTTTTATATTATTTTTATTTAATTAATATGATCGTTGGCGGTCAGCGGTGGACCAAGGAGTTGCCTCTCTGCCGAGCAAGAGTTTAGGGCAATTGGTTGTAAAACACTTGAGCGAAATAACTTTTTACTGGTTAGACCAGCATAACGTGGTTGACAGTGGTGTAGTAGAGTTAACACTGTTTCAGTTGACCCTCTGGCAAAATAGTCATTGCTGCTTTATCGTGAGTGAGTGTAAGTGTGAGTGTCAAAGGCAAATGTCTGTGTAGGAAGTAGTGCGTGGAGGAATATGGTTTGCGCCTTTAGAGTACGGGTGTGTACCCAAAGGGGACAATAAATAAGGTGTGTCTCTGCTTGTTGTTACCGATAGCGAAGCACTTCAGACGAGTAGAAGCATATGTAGGCGTCGGAGAGAAGTCGTCGAGGCAGCTCCGGAATCATTTTATCGTCTTTATTATTAAGTAGAAAGTTGTAACCATCTTCACTCAGCCACCACCTGTGGTAATTAGAAGAAAGAACATTAGAAACATGGCCGTTATATAATAAAAATTATTTCTCTAAAGAGCAAGCACATACTTTAGGTCAGGAAAAGCCACCACTTCGGGAATATTGTATCCGTTTTGTTCACCTGAAATTAGTAGTGTCTTTTGTAAGTCTTAATGCACTAATGCTATTACACACTAGACGAACCTTTCCGATCGGCCATGCTATCAAAGAAACACCAAGGACTATCAGGACCAGAGCCACACTTGACAAAGGATACATAATGACTGGTAGTAGAGTAGAAAGAAGTGAAAATGTATGTTAATAAGAATTAATGAGCCAAATGAAGCCCCGAGGCATTGAAAGCACTTACCTGGTCTCGATGCAAAGCACCGCAAAGAGCTCCATTGTGACTCGCGGAATATTGGTGTGATTCTTGAGCATGGCAAACTCGGCGGGAACGGCCAGCTTTGTAATCTTATGCTTTGACCTCTTCTTGTGACCATGACTTTTCTCGGAACAGACGGCACAGAAAGCGATCGATTCGAGACCTTCGCCAAACTTTCCAAAACACTCTTTACATTCAAACTCGGCCAGTTCGCCGCATACAATGCACTGCCTGGGCGAGTTTTCCAGCACATTGGTGATGTCCAGGTACAGACTAGGCATGATTCGAGGGTACATCTTGAACTGGGCACCAAAACGAGGCATCTGAATTATTAGGCATGGAGGAATTTCTCGCAGCTTAATATCTGAGGCTAGGAACGATTGATCAAAGAGTTGTTGCACATTGGGTAATTGCAGTGTTTCGTCCTTTTCAACGAACAACTGGTAGAGAGACGAAGTCAGTCCGGAGCTCAGTTTGAGATATGGATCAGTCTTTAGTATTTGATTCAGTAGAAGGTTTAAGAATTCTTCGGGATCCTTCTCTTCGCTTGTCAGTCCACGCATAGAGCTAATTCGCTCAAGCAGTTGCCGAAGATGCATCACTCGATCAGCCCGAACGTAGTAGTTTGCTCGAAGAGGATTTACAATTTCTTCCTTCAAAATGCGCTGCACTTCATTGTACTCGGGAATATCATCGGCCCTCTTGGGTCTGTAGAGAAGAGATTCAAAGACGGTGGTTGAGGAGAACATGGCAAAGAGTGTTGCGTCCAGGTAACACGAATTGTGGTGCCCCTGAATGCCGCGATTCTTGCCGCACAACTGGGTCAAGTCTTCCTGCGTGCCCAGGGGGGCGACATCACCGAGAACTGATGGACAGTCTATCGAGCCAAAGAGACTAGAACTGCGTCGACTGCTGTCTGGGCTGGCTGGCTTACTGGGCGCACTAGTGGAAAGCTTTGGTGGAGAGCTTGACGATGGTGATTCTTTGTTGTCTGTATAAAACTTGTAGGTGTCGAGGCTTTTTTGTTTAGATCTCCTGATTGGTTTTTGAGGTGGAAATGATTCGTCAATTCGAGCTGTAGAGCCAAGGTAGTCGGTGGCTTTCATCAAGCCCACAATCGGCACCAAGGAGGCGTGATTCATTTCAGTCTCAAAGAGTTTGTACTCGTTGTAGAGGCCAGTGCCCGATCCGACTGGATTGACAAAGGAAACGCCAGCCATCCATTCAGATCCTACGTCAGGCAGTTTGCCTAGCCACTTGACGACGCCATATTCTGGTCCGGTGTCGCTTATCCAGACAACTTTATCGTGAAGCTGAAGAGGTGGCGGAGGCGATCCATCGGCGCACGCTTCGTCTAATGATATGGGCCTTAGGGAACTGTTTGCAGATGATGAGGGTGGAGGATAGTACTGGCCATTGGATGTTAGCGGCTGGTAGCCGTTGTTAGATGGCATTGTGGTGCCTCTACTTGATGTAATCACAGTTGGGTTTGTTGTTAAAGCAGGTCAAAATAAGCTTGTTGTTCAATCGGTAATTAATTACTGTCCAAAGGTGAACCCTGGCGAGCATGGTCAGAAGGGAAATCACCAGAGTCACAACATCAGAATTTAAATGGACAATGTCACTGAAAGCTAAAACCAAAACAAAGTCAACGGATGAAAAAAAACAACAATGAAGACGTCTTTTCTGAATGGGAGCTTAGAAATTCCGGCACAGAATGAGGAGCCACGAACTGGCGACAGGGAGCCAAGAATAGCCGCCACTTGTAGGAAATGACAATCCTTTCTGGTGGCGTCTCGAGCAGTCTGGTAGTAGTTCAGCTCGCTGACGTTCACTGTTTGTGTTGATGCTGGTGGTGGTGGCGGTGGTGAGCCGTGGCAAGTCGATTGACTGCTCGTCTGACAGAGTCTCGAGGCAATCGTCAAGCGTTGCGTAACGGCCGATCCAGCTGCTGCGCGACACAGATCGCCAAGAAGTCAGTGGTGATTGGAATGTGCTTGTCTTGTCGCTGAGTCACCACCTCGAGTAAGTGAGTAAGTGAGGAAAGAGGAGATAATGTCACCCGGCAGTGTCGGTGTATTCCAATTACCTTCCAGCAGTGATTGTGCCGAGTGCACTGTAACAGAGTAGAGGCACCTTCGGAGGGTGGTACTTTGTGCTGCTAATTATTGACTTTTCTTTTACTATTGAAATAGAAACAACGAGGCTACATTTACCAGTACTTTTCCCTCTCTTTTGATGCGCAGCAAACGTGATGCCCACGCTTTCAATTGGCCACAGCTTGTCAATTCTGTGTGAAGGTCGCCTTCGATTGCACGGTGCTTCTGCCAGCAGATGTTTTCTGCTGTTTCGATGACTACTCAATGAATCGCTGTCCGCATGTTGGAGGGGAAAATCTACTGGTGCACTTGGCATGCCTGACAAACTGACACATCCAAATTTGGGTTCTCACCGGGTACAGGTAGTGCAGGTGACTCAGTCATGAGCACAGTCAATGTACATCCACAGACTGCACTGTTGATAACTGCTATGTTGCTCGGGGTGCAACACAGCAGTCACTGACACAGCAAAACAGTAGTACCAATTGCGGAAGATAACAACAACAAAAAACTTTATTGAAGAATGGGCTTGCTTCAAATCAATCAAAGTTAAGCCTTCTTAATGGCAATGAATTTAATCGTACCGCAAGCAATACGAGCACCAGAGTTTCCGCTTTGAAGACTCTCGCGGTTATAGCCAGCTCCCAGGTCATCGGTTTGCAGGTGCACCACCAGTGAACGCTCCAGTACGCTGAACTTACCGCGGAGTGAAATCCTGGTACTGCTCACATCGAATTTTGCAGCTCCCTTGGCATCAGCATGGAGATTTCCCAAGTCCCCGATGTGCGAACTGGGAGAGTCTTTAGGGCCGTGGTTTTGGCGAGTTGGATTGTAGTGCTCCCCCGCGGATTCACAGTTGTAGCCGACCACTCGGTGTTGATGGACATGGAAGCCATGTTTGCCAAAGGGAAACAGGCCTTTCACAAAACCAGATATTTGCGTCGGGCCAGATCCTATTTGAGTCAGTCGAACGACGCCAAATGTTTTAAGACCGCGCAGTAGGGCCACTGCTTGAATAGTACTTGCAGTCATGCCAATAGATCCAATGGATCTGTGGCTGGGAATTTCTACGGCCCCTTCATCGCCGCCACCTTCGTCGCCAGCTTCATTGACCCATTCAGAAATGTCGCCTCCAAAGTCGGAAATGTCAAAGTCGCCAAGTGAAGAGCCAACAGTGTTGATTGACTGGCGAGTGGAGATGATCATCAGCGAGACGAAGAGGAGTAGCACCAGTCCATGATAGGTGGTTCCATAAGGGGGCATGATGTTATTGTGTATTTCTTAATGCCGAAATCTCGCCAGCTGGAAGTGAAATGACAGCCATTTCTTGGCACTCTGCCATTGTCATCCCCTCCATTCAATGCCAAGCGGATGTGAAGCAAACCATAACGGAACTGCAGTCGCAACAAGTCGAGTGCGATCGCACTGGACAGTACAGCGAAAGTTGGGCTGCTGCTGAACAACAAGCAGGCTACACTGACACCTTTTTTTCAATGTACGACGTGTCTTTGGTGCAACTTTATCCTCTAGTGGGGGGACACTGACTGCAAGACGACGTATGTTGCAATCAAGACAATAGGATTTGTCGCAATCTAAATCCAAATCGCTTTTCGCAAAAGTCCACCTGCGCGACTATTGTCACATAAACTGCTTGTTTTGGTGCGCCGCTGTTGCCGCACCAGCCGCGACTGAACATCAACAACTCTGATGCAATATTCATCTGATTTTAATTTTAATTTGATTAAACACAAGCGATTTGCTTCAACTATGCTTTTACTGAGGTCCCGGAGTAATCAAAAGGGCTGCTAAGGAGAGCCAGGCTGAGTTGGTTTACCGCCAACATGAAGGCACATGGACGCATCTTTAGAAGGCCATTTTACATTTGCTCAGTGATTTTTTCATTTACTTTCTGGTTGCATTTACAATGTAGTCAAATAACTTTGGCTGACTCCAGCACGTCTAGCTGTGGTGATGGGCTTAATGAAGATGAGCTGCCTCAGTTGAATCTAGTCAATTTCCAATCAGATATAGTCGACAATGGTAATATTTTCAATTTTGTGAATGCTCAAACTGACAAGGTTTTATTCTTTTGTTTCAGAATACATTATATCATTCAAACATTTTTACAAAGCTTCGACGAGATTAAAATTTATAAGAAAGTCACTTCAAAAGCTTTCACTAAATGGTTCGCAGTGGACTTGTGTTGAGCGCGCAAATGCCGCCTCGACTTTTCCAAGTGATTTTGACTTGCTTCAAATGCACGCAAACATTCCCCTAAGTGTTCTTTCGGATTCATTGCGCCATCATCCGTCAATAAAAGATGTCACGCCTCAACGAAAAGTAATTCGGAACCTTCAACATGTTAATTCTTCCACTGACAGTGACATCAGTTTGCACTACCAATCTCGTCAGATGTCTTGGATCAACTCATTTAGCTTTGATTCATATTCCATCACTGACACGAGAAGGCGGCTTTTACGAGCTATTCCTGTACAAATCACCAACGTTCTTCAGGCTGACGTTCTGTGGAAAATGGGAATCACCGGAGCTGGAGTAAAAGTGGCCGTCTTTGACACTGGCCTTGCCAAAAGTCATAAACACTTTAAGAAGATTAAGGAGCGAACAAACTGGACGAACGAGCGCACATTTGATGACGGTCTTGGCCATGGCACTTTTGTTGCAGGCGTAATTGTCAGCAGCTCAAAAGAATGCTTTGGGTTTGCTCCTGATGCGGAACTTCATGTCTACCGCGTTTTCACAAACAATCAGGTATCCTACACGTCATGGTTCCTTGATGCGTTCAACTACGCAATTCTCAAGAAGATCAACGTTCTCAACCTGAGCATTGGAGGACCGGACTTTATGGACCGGCCATTTGTGGATAAAGTATGGGAGCTGACGGCCAACAACGTGATCATGGTTTCAGCCATTGGCAACGACGGCCCACTTTACGGAACGCTGAACAATCCCGCTGATCAGATGGACGTGATCGGCGTCGGGGGCATAAACTTTGAAGATCAAATTGCCCGATTTTCTTCTCGGGGCATGACCACTTGGGAGCTGCCTGCTGGCTACGGTCGCGTCAAGCCTGACATAGTCACCTACGGCGCCTCTGTTCGAGGGTCAAACATCAAAACCGGCTGCCGTGTTCTGTCGGGCACGTCTGTGGCTTCGCCTGTGGTCGCGGGCGCCGTCACCCTGCTCATGAGTGGCGTCCTTCACCTGGGCAACATCATCAATCCGGCGAGCATGAAGCAGGCGCTGATGGCCTCTGCCCACCGCCTACAGAATGTGCCCATATTCGAGCAAGGTGCGGGGAAGCTCGATCTGGTGCACGCCTACCAGCTGCTTCGCTCCTACCGACCGCAGGCCTCCCTGCACCCGCCCTTTCTCGACTTCACCGACTGCCCCTACATGTGGCCGTACTGCACTCAGCCGCTCTACCACGGCATGGTACCGATCATCGTCAACGTCACCATACTCAACGGCATGTCAGTCACGGGGAACATCGTGGAGGCGCCCACCTGGCACCCCTACTTGCCCCAACATGGCGACCATCTTCAGGTGGCCATCACCTACTCGGAGATACTTTGGCCGTGGTCAGGCTGGTTGGCCGTCCACATTTCAGTCTCCGCTGAAGCGCGCAATTGGGAAGGCATTGCCCAGGGACACATCTCACTGACCATTGAAACGCCGGCCGGTGAAAATGGCGATGAGGAGGAGGCAACCAGTCTCAAAAGTGAACTGGTATTTCCAATCAAAGTAAAGGTCATCTCTACACCGCCAAGAAATAAACGCATTCTATGGGATCAGTACCACAATCTGCGCTACCCACCTGGCTACTTTCCTCGAGATAATCTCAACGTGAAGAATGACCCACTTGACTGGAATGCTGATCACATTCAGTAAGTAATTTTTGCTTGTTTCTTATTCACAATTGTCTTTTCTCACCACTTTATTCATCTTTTTAGCACCAACTTTCGCGACATGTACCAGCACTTACGCTCCAATGGCTACTACATTGAAGTGCTGGGACAGCCGTACACGTGCTTTGACGCCAAGCAGTACGGAACCTTGCTGATTGTNAATTCATCTTTTTAGCACCAACTTTCGCGACATGTACCAGCACTTACGCTCCAATGGCTACTACATCGAAGTGCTGGGACAGCCGTACACGTGCTTTGACGCCAAGCAGTACGGAACCTTGCTGATTGTCGACCCGGAGGAAGAGTTTTACCCGGAAGAAATTGAAAAGCTCTTTCTTGACTTTCAGAATGGACTTTCGCTCATTATTTTCGCCGACTGGTACAATGTGACGGTGATGCGTAAGGTGAAGTTCTTTGATGAGAACACTCGCCAGTGGTGGCTCCCGGTGACTGGCGGAACGAACATTCCTGCACTCAATGAACTGCTGTCCCCCTGGGGCATTGCTCTCGGAGACCAAGTTTTTGAGGGCAGCTTCAAGGTGGGCTCGCATGACATGTACTACGCTTCTGGCACCAGCATTGTCGACTTTCCTCTGCAAAACACTACCGGATCGCTACTTCGGCTAAATCTCAACGATCAAGGTCACGAGCTGTTGCACGGCAAAAAGGTTCAAATTTCCAATGTGCCCATTTTGGGTTTGTACGGTGCCCAAAACTCTTCACCTGATCGGAGCAGTAGTGTATCGGCTGCAAAAAACGCCACCGGTCAGCTGGCCATCTACGGCGACTCCAATTGCCTGGACAGTGCTCACCTGCAAAAGGACTGTTTTTGGATGCTGGACGCTCTGCTCCAGTTTACTACCACCGGTCAGACGCCATCTTTTATGGGCAATGATGGTGGTGGTGGTGGCACTGAACGTCAGCATCTAAACACCAGTCAGCTGAAGCCGTCACCTCAAAAGCCCCAGCGAATGGAGGGAAATCAATTGTTTAAATACTCAAAAGTAATCAACGAACAGCTGAAGCGAAAGCCTCTGCCCGCCTGCTTGACAATGCACTTACAAACTGCCATCCCGCTCAACACAACTGCTCCAGATAATCTCTTTAAGTCTCAAAAGCTCCTATCAGTAGACATTGACCCGAGACTCTTTGATGCGCCCCTAATGCCTCCAAACTCTGGCGAGTCGGCGAATGGTGATGAGACTGCCAATAAAGAGGCCAATAATGAAGAGACATTTGAACACTACGACGAGCTCAACTGGTCAAACTCTCGCCTGAGCAATCTTTTTAGCGGCAGCAAGTTCCTCAGAGTAAGATACGAATCAGAGACGGTCTTTTCCCTCTATACTCTCTTGACACTACTGGTCATCATTCTCGTGGTGCTCTACCTGTTGAGGCATAGGCTCGTCTGTTCAAGCAGAGGCCGTCGGCGTCGACCTCGAACTACGCTCTATCGTTTACTTCGCCAAGGTCCACTAAGGACACCTGAACTGTGATCACACTTTATCGTCATCTTTTGCTGAATTCTAACACAAACAAACCTTTTCCTGATTAACTCTCTGGTCGTTTACGTCGTCATTCATTCCTTCTCTTCCTCTCTCTCTCCCTCTCTTCACTTTCAACTGACCCACCGTAAGAACAATGTTTAACTGCATGTTCCTTGCTTGGCTTTCCTAAATCTTTCCGCTTATTCCAAAAAATCTTTTGTCTGCAGCTGCTGCAGCTTCATCAATTCAGGGCTCTATTAGTCGGCAACATTCTTTGCGGCGTCAGCAAGCCAAAGGCAGACACACTAGAAAGAAGAGCACACATATTCGATCTTTTTTCAGCCATCCTCGTGATCATTCACGGCACAATTAATCTGCCTTCAGTCACTCTATTGTTATACTCTCGCACACTTTTTGCCTAAGCTTTAGTAGCACTTTCTACCACACTGTCGGCGATGGACTTTTAGTAGTTCCAATTCTGGCCAGCCTGTGGTCTACTTTACGGGGTTTGGACTGTTTCTTCTCCTTCTCCTCATCCGGCACTTTTATGCGGCTGTCACCAGGGCGACCGAGTACCATTACTCATGGCGGGGCTTAAGCATTGAAGATGCTTCCAATCAAGCATGGCCATTTTTGCCAAAGTTTATGCTCAAGTAGTCTCCTTGGTGGTGGTGGATGTGCCGGCAATGCGAGCCATCAGACAGTTATGCCCGTATTGCGGGCACTTTACTGCACGGACGTGAGCACCTTTACCTGTGGTCGCTGGCAGCAGCAGTCATCGTCAGCTATAATGAATTAATTGCCGTTGGCCACAATACCTGTCTGTCCGCATGGGGCCACTTTGATTTGT